TGGCAAATTTGTTTAACCCTCCCAACCCGTCTTCCTCTCAAGCCGCATGTTTGTTGAAGTCCTCGTACCACACAGCTTCACTTTTTAGTATACATTTATTCATGTGCAGTTATAAATAATCACTCATATCACGAAATTTGATTTTATTTTAATTGTTAGTAAAAGTGCAGAAAAACGTTTTAATATTTAATTAAAATATTTCTATTGATTTTGTGAAATTTATCGCAATTCAAATAACAGAAAGGTTTTTTTTGTAGTGTAGGAAGCATCAGAAAAGATTTACATCAAAATGTTGTCAAATTTTGAAATTGGAAGCGAAGGCAACAAGCAATTGTGCAATCTATTAATTTATCACATATAATTAATTAAGCAGATTAACAGGCACTTTGGCAGGGTTACATTTCCAATCAAATATGTTTGCAGTTTCAATTATGCTACTAAAATGTTTGTTTGATGTACTGTTGGCTACAAGCAATCAAACACTCACATCAGGAATCTTCCCTAAAGCGATGTTCAGAAAAGCTAATATTATGGTTGGGGCGAAAACCGGTACCAAACTCTAAATCGATGTTCGAAAAAGTTGAAATTTTGATCGGGACGAAAACCGGTATTGAATCAAAAAAAAATACGTACATATTTTGGTTCACACACAGTCAAACTTCATTCATTCGAACTTCTACAACTCGAATTTTCTATTACTCAAACTAAATAGACTGCGCCAGGGTTAAGAGACCAACTTACATACAATTCTTTAATTCGAAATCTCCATAAGTGGAACCTTTTCTTTGCAAAATGGTACCTCGAGCCATGGAAGTTTGACTGTTTATATGCTGTATACAGGGTTAGGCGATTAAAGTGTTACCGACTATACATAGGTATATCTGTCAAACTGATTTTGCCAACTGCGTGAAATATATACCAACTACAGTTAATTATATTGTTTACAAGCTATAATAAGCATTTGAGTCTAAGTTTTACAGAACAAATGTCATGTACCATAATTGATTATAATAGTACAGACAGCGTCGCCAAAAGCTATGATGGAGGAAGAAAAAAATAGCAATAGGGACAACACCTGAAATGGTTTGAAAAGTGAAGGCTCGACTTGAATGAAATGAAAATATCCAAGTAATAAGCTCAAGATAAAGCCTTACAAGTTCCAAAAGGCACAAGACCTTACATTAAAGCAACAAAAATTTAAACTCAAAAGAGCAAGGGAGTTGTAACGCTAGCATGAGTGTGGCAAATTTCCAAACACTGTGTTCTTTGATAAGGAAAATTTTCCCATTGAGCAGTTTATAAACTAACAGATGATCATGTTTACTTAACTGAACGCATTGCCGTTCACTGCCATTTAAGACTACGAATAGGAACCGAAGTAATTTTCCATCTCTAGTAACGGTAATAGTTTTCATCGTGCCTGGTGTTAAAGTCAATGCGACTTATTATCGGAAAAATGGTTTGGAAGTTGCTTTAGAGCCGTTGGATGACAAATATTTCAGTTGTAGAGTATGGACGTTCCAATAAGACTTGCTTGATCGACTTCTACTTGACTGTTTAACCGACTTACATATAAATGTATTTATAATTATATACATTATTTTGGTTGAGCGCTATAGAGTACTTCTTTATTTACATAAATTTCTCTTCACTTGCTGAAATACTACTACTAGAATTTAAATACTAGTACTAGAACTAATAGTATTACAACAATTAGTACTACAACTACTAGTACTACAACTACTAGTACTACAACTACTAGTACTACTACTACTAGTACTACTACTACTAGTACTGCAACAACTAGTACTACAACTACTAGTACTACAACTACTAGTACTACAACTACTAGTACTACTACTACTAGTACTACAAATACTAGTACTACAACACTAGTACTACAACTACTAGTACTACAACACTAGTACTACAACTACTAGTACTACTACTAGTACTACTACTAATACTACTACTAGTACTACTACTAATACTACTACTAGTACTACTACTAGTACTACTACTACTAGTACTGCAACAACTGGTACTACAACTACTAGTACTACTACTACTGCTATTACCATTGATACTACTAGTACTACTACTACTATTATCAATAATAAAAATACTACACTCACATCTACTTGTACTACTGCTACTATTACTACTATTATAACTTCTACTACTTGTAGTACTACTACTATTAATGAATAATGAAACTTGATTAAAAAATCAAATCAAATGCAATTTTTTTTTTTTTTTTGAATAATAAAAATGTCTAGAAGCGATTCGAGTGTAGTCCAATGTGAGTTGAATTCATATTTAAATAGCTTCCGCGAGTGAAGGAAAAAATTTAGGGAAAATCTATTTCGCAATATTTGGAAATTGCTGAGCAAATAGAGAACGAGAAGTAATTTGATGACTGGACCCAGAGCAGCATTTCGAGGAAATAATGGATACGAAATATTGTTTAAATATTTTTGGTTGTGCAACTTTATAATTTGAAACAATAGCTGAGGGTGCAACTTCTAAAGCATTTTTAACACTTTTTTAAGTGGTTCAAAAAATTCATTTTCCTCCAACTTCTGCTTTTCTGCTAAACAATTTTTGTTGGTAAACCAATAGAAGTACAATGGAACAGCAACACAGGCGAGTGAAATCTAAAAGTTTACAAATAAATATTGCTATACATTATGCAAATTACGGAGCCCAAAGCGCATTTCTGGTTGCCGTGGCAGCTGCAGATGCTAAAATGTTTGGATGCCCCATTTCATTACTTTTTAACCAAACTTTGCGGAGTTAGAAAACAGTTTAATACAAACGTTGCAATATAATTTATAAATTCATTGTTTTCAAATTAATATCTAAACATACATTTCAGTTTTTACTACCAATCTTGTATTATCTTGAATTAAGAATTGGTTTTACTACCAATTCTTACTTTAGTGTCCTCTGGATGTAGGAACTCACCATCAATTTTCACTTTAGCGTTACTTAAAATTAGAATTACTTCAATATTATACTCATATCATCAGATACTAGAACGTTCATATTCAGTTTCATTCGAGAACTTCGTATCATCACATATTGTTCTTTTATCTATGGACCAAACATTATTTAAGCAGTGTCCCGATTGTATCAATTTTTTTCTTAAATGCTGATTATAAATCCTATAGGCTCATATAGATTTCTTGGTTTTCTTTCCATAATCTATTATTGTCGAAGGTATATGACCCTTCATTCTAAGCTTATGGAATAAGTAAGATACATCAACTTTTTAGAATAATTCCATTTTGCTAAGCAATACAGTTGACATCAAAAGTGATTCCTCATTCATTATAGGACTTCTTAGCATTTGAATGCCTTTTATGTAGAGGGACTTGTGTTTACTCCCAAAATAAGTTTCAGTTTAATCACTTATTTTATCCTTTTCTAGGGTAAACACTGCAAGTATGTGGTGGCTATTATTAGCCTAAACCGAAAAATAAAGTAGATGGAAAAATATTCAAAAAATGTTGTTCTGAATATATCTAATAACATAGTAATCTGAATGAAATACAAAATCAGCTGACAGTTGCATTTTTAGTGGCTTTGAGTGGCTCCGTCTTTAGCTGAAGACTCAGCTAAATGCTGTTTAGATCCATTTTAACAATAACACCATTAACATTAATCCCATTTACATAGCATAAATTTTACTTTCAGTAGCAATTCAGTAGCTTTATAAGGTAGAAAAAGTCTGAAATATTTGTTTAGTGATTAGGGTTCCTTGAAATAAAGCCAAAATTCAATTAGTGAGTGAGAAGAAAATAATTCTAAAGAAGTGAGAAGAATAATTCTCTAGAACTTATATCTTTATAGAGATTTAAACGTACAACAATAAAGAGCTGCTGTTACAGTGTTTCGACGTAAAGTACAATATATTACATTTTGGTAATATAACCAGGGCGTTAGGACAATTTATGGACATTAAATACATTATACCCTAAAAGAATTTTTCCCCATATTCCCCACATCCATATTAAAGTTAATTTTTTTAACATTAAATTGAAATAAAATAAAAGTGTATTATTTATTATTTATAAACAAAAAATTTTACAAAAATTTAATTTAAAATTATCTCAATCCGCACTCTTGTATTTCTAATAATTTAAGTGCTTGACATCCTGTCATTAGGGTTTAGGAAATAAAAATATGAAATAGGTTTTCGCGAGTGACAAAAAAAAATATTTCCAACGTGGTATGATTGCATTTCCAACAACTTCCCCGTATTTCGACGACATCAATGTGTTGCTACTATCGTAATGGAATCCAATTTGACCGAAGAAATATTGTATATGAACGTTTGAGAGAGATATGAGTCTTTAGAGACCTCTAAGCAAAAACAAATTATACTGGAAATCGCAAGTCAAGCAAATAAAAATGTTGGTGGAAGCAAAAACTTTTGTCTCAGTCACCACAAAAATACGAGCAATAAAAAGTTCATGTAAATAAAAACGTGTACTATATATTGAGTATAAAACGTAAGTGCAAAATTGAGAATAAGTTCATAAAATAAGATCTAAATTTGGAAAAAAAAATATAAAGAGAAATTTTTCTATATGAGTTCTTTAATAAAACTTGAAAAAAAAAGTATTTCACAATACAAAACAGCCCAATACAGACTTAGCTGGCTGCTATAAGCCAATATTGTTATACTTAAATTGTACCGTTGAAAGGCACCAAAACTATATATCTAAATAACTACTTCTATTTAGCTTTTACGCATATGACAGAACTCCTGGGCACTGCAGATATTTAAGTACAAACATTTCTGTGTTCCTAGATCGGATCTTAATAATACTATATGCAATGACTTTAAATAAAAAAAACGTGTTTTCTTTAAAAATCACTCGTTATTTCTTCCGAAAGATAAAAATATTATGCAAACACCTAATAAAAGACAAAAAACCTTCTAAATTTCAATTATTTAATAATTTTTAATATATTTTAATAAAACAAAATATTTACAAATGTTTTTCATACAACAACATCTCATCGAGATTAACAAGGCTATATTCGGTAATACCTCGTCCAAAAAATTCATAAAAGCGAGCGTCTTTGGTAATGAACTCATTAACCGGGAACTTATCTAGAATATAAAACACATAAGAATTTATTTTTAATTATATTTGAAGTTGAAAGCTTTTCTCACCATCGGAACGAATGTCAGTTAGTATATAGACATTCTTATCATGGCAATCTTTTACCATTCCCTCGTCAGCGAAGGATAGATCAGCAACAGCTGGTAGAACAACGCGTTTTTGTGATTGAAATTGTGTTTCATGTACTTTTGGATATAAATATTCCATCCTCTGTATGGATATCCATAACTTATAAGCATTCATGGTAACATTGTGGTTAATTTTCATGATAAAGCACCGATTATGATCGTAGTCCACAATTGCTGTGAGATTCTTTTTAAAATTATGCATAAACCGAGTAGTGAAGTCAGTCCTGACATTACTAATATTAATAGCGACAGTGTGGATTCGAGAGCTATCCATAACATTAATCTCAATTTCTTGACGAAAGTCATACCCACGAGGAAAATCCTCCTTCATATTTTTTAGGATTTGTGGTGCTATAAATATCATACCGGAATCCAAGTCGTCTGAATACATTATGTACGAAATAGTTTCATTATTTTCAACATAGATTTCCACAGCGCAGTCAACGCGATAACGCACTATTTTATGCCTTCGATCAATCCGGAAGAAATATAAAGAAGCTAGAAATAAGCACATTATAAGTGCAATAGGAATAACGACCACAATCATAAAAGTCTTTGTACGAAGTCCCTTTGGGTGCTTATAGCATTTGATATCTGCACCTCTTTCAATTGCACTGGACAGGGTTTTCTGATGTTCTTCGAACATACTGCCAGGAGTCTTCTCCATGTCCATAGCTTTGTTCTGCAATACCTTAAATTTTATCGAAACTTATTAAAAGATGCAGAAATCTAACAATTTTCGAAGAGAGAAAATATGAATCGTTCTACAGAAAAATTTATTTCTTACTACAATATTATAAGTTTATGTTTAATGGAAATAAAAAACGATAAAATCATAGCCAACTAATGTACTCGCATATACTTTGTTTAATTTATAATTATGATTTATATCATATTTGTAATTAAATGCAAAAATATAATAACCAACGTCATTTGTTCTATTATATATATTAACAGCGTTGCCACACTACTTGCGTGGCTAAGACCGTTTGAAGAGTTGGTCATTTTTTTCATTATTTATAGTGTATTATGTCATCGTAATGCAGATATCAATGTATTCTCCAGAAGAAGTTGCATAATACGTTTATGCAAGAGAGATAGTTGTGAGTGCGTGAAACCGATTTACTAATACAAAATACAGAAGAATAGATACTTCACGACTACAATAAGTGTGAGGGAACCGGGACAAAATATTGCCACACTTTCATTTGAAAAGGAAATCACACATAATGCTTATATAGTATGCAAAATGTCAATTTTATTTACTTTGACACAAATAAATGCCACAAAGAGAGGTAAATAAAGAAGAGGATGAAATACTATACATAAATTCTCTTACAACAAGTAATGGTGTTATCTGTTCAGGCAGTATCTAAGGGAACTAATCAGGCGATGTTAGGTGTAGTTTGGTGTAATTTAGTGATCTTGAGATTTTTTGGAACTTATTCCATGATGAAGTACTGAAAACAAACTCTGCATATTAGATTTTTGAGAAGTGTTTATGTCTGGTAGCTCAAAATTAAATGATAACTGTCGAATATATTTTTTATCACATTAAAAGTGATTTCTGAAGATTTGAAGCTTAATAAAGTCGTTATATAGTAATAAATGGTAACTCATATATGTAGTATAAAAGTAGACTATGAACAGTATTTAGCATGGAAGGACTAAAGCCAGACTGAAACCACACAGCTGAGTATCACATAAATTTTACATATATAACACGCTCATCAAATGGATTGACAAAATGGATCCTAGGGCGAAACCTTTTGGTGAACAGTAATATAAATTGACTGTATACGTTTTATATAATTATTTTTCTTAAAAATAAATAAACAGAAAAGTGCTAATCTGGACAGGAAAAGCGGAAAATTTGACTGGAATTTAATATGCAATTAAGAAAAAGGCTATAGTCAATGCCTTTTATATTTGAAATATATCTTCAGGAATATGAAAGTTTGTGTAAAATATTACCTAATACTTACCCCTTATTGAAACTTCTTCTTCTTTTTTGGACAACTTTTAAATAGTAGAACCCCGATATTAATTACTGTAATCCGTGCTCAGCTAAATCCGTGCTCAGCGTATTATTTCAGAACTTAGTGCTCAGCTTTCTGCAAATACAAAATTATTATATTTAATTTACCTGAAAATGAAGATGGTTATCCAACAAATTTATTTCACTTATACACCAAAGGAAATTTGAGTCCAAGTGATTTGTGAAGATTATATAATAGACTAAAGAGTAAAAAGATCTAAAATTTCGTCAAATTGTACTACAATATATTTTAAACACAATTTTAGTAGAAAAAAAGTTTTAACAGATATACACATTCTTGATTCTATTAATAAAATTAATAAACAAAAAAATCGTGGCCAACTAATATATCTATTAATATATAAATATACTTATATAAATATTATTATATACTATTATAATTATGATATGTGCAATTATAATATATAATTAATAAAATATAGTATCTAATGTCATATAGTTAACGTAAGCCGTCTTTGACTAATTTATGTATTAATTTATGTAATCCACGGGTGCTCCGCGGATAGCTAAGCACTTTTATCGCTTCCCCGACCGACGGTTTCAGCAACATGAGTTTGATCTGTCTAAAAGTGCTCTACTCTCTCCATCTATTGAGATGAAGTGAGGTTATCCATTTATAGACATAGGCTGTCATCATGTTGTAACCCAATGGTATTCTGGGTTCTGGGCCGCAAAAATTATTAAACTATTAAAAATGTAGTGTAAAGAATGTTAGGTAGCAATAGTTATGTTCTAGAAACTTAATAAATCTAGTGGTATGTACGGACGGCTTATAAGGAGGGTTGCGCACAGTGGTTCAAACAATTTCCTATAAATTTAGTTTATAATTTTGATATTTTATTTTTAATTGAAGACTATATTGCAATTGATTTTATGAAATATCAGTAAGTAATAGTATTTATTTCAATCAGAATGTATTTGTTTGAAACGATCGAAATTTTTTAATTTTTTGTTTTTGCAGAAGAAAATCTGTGTTAGTTATGGGAGGACTTACCCCCAAGATGAGGACTTACCTTAATTTGTTAGCTAAATATTCAAGTATAAGTAAGCAAAATAAAAACATTATTTTAGGGGATTTTTTTAGGATTTGAATTACTTAGATTAACAATTTTTTTTAATTGAAATAGTCTCATATTTTTTTTTTGAATTTGAGATACTTTACCTTCATTTCGATATGATGAATTAAAATACTTGTCGTGAATGTAAATGTCATTTACAATACAATTTTAAATTTGTTTTACATTTTCAATATATATGTTTATATATAGTTCAGTAATCTCATTTCAATGTTTATAAAGTAATGAGTTAAACAAAAATTATAGCGAGTGGAGTATGTCCAATTGTAAATATAACATATGGTTCATTAATAGTTCGAGCTCTGATCCATGTTAATAAAATGGCACTTGCATAATATATATTTTGCATATTCATAATAAAATTTAACTAATGCGATCATTTAGTCTCCTGGCTCATCAAGTGAAATAGGTATTTATTAAAGGTCACAAATTACTAAATATATATAAAGTAATAATTCCTGTAATGATTTATATCATAAATCATACTATATATATGGATGGAAGGAACTTATATCAATATTAAAATATAGTATTATAGTATTATTATTATCTGTGCGACATAAAAGTGATAAGTGAATTATTAATAACAAAATATAATGGAAAGTAAATACTCTAATAAATCCTGTTTTATCAACTGCAAGTTCTCCTCATACTTATTATACAAGATCAATGAATGTCTCTCTCATGTAGATTAAAGATTTGTAATTTATTTTCTCTTTAAAAGAGTAATTGTCTTCATGTTAATGCACACATAATACTTACAAAGGCCATTGATGTTACCAAGAATAGAATTATTATTCCAAATACCAAGGTTACGAAGAGTTGGCTTTCTGGTGACACATTTATTGAAGGGTTTTGTGATTGTACTATGAGTTGATCAGTACATCGTTTTTCTAATCTACATAATATCAAACTCGTTCCTTCAGATAGCTGTGTATAACAATTTTTATTCGATGTTTTGGACATAAATTCCTAGAAAGCAAGCTTGATATTGTAATATCCAGCAGAATTGAATTCTTAAGCAAGTGATGAGAAAAATCAAGACAACTGTTTACTAATTTATTGTATAAAAAAAATTATAACAATCTGATTGTCAAAGATTTCCGGTGGATTAATTAAATGTGTATGTAGTAAAATAATTCTTAGAAATTATATATAGAACTTAGAACTCATATCTATTGATGGTAATACAAGAAGTAATTTTTGAAATCAAAAATAAAACCAATACAACATTGAGGAACAACTGACTTAGTACTAACCGTACTCAGTAATAAAAATAAAAATAATCTTCAGGAGAACTTCAAACATAATAAACTTCTGTAATTTAATTAATATTAAAAAATTCCGAAATTTAAAACTGTATTTGTAAATTTTATATAAAATATAGTTTATATAAAATAATAATAATAATACGAAAAGTAAAAGAAATCTTAGTTTCTCAAATCAATTAAAATTTTATTTCTGTTTATTAGAAAGTGGCACCAAAAGTATTACTATGCTACAGAGTAGCACTTTTGAAATCACACTTCTCAAAATGTCTATAAATAGAATCGTTTCACCTATCCAATATGTTTTAAATTTAATGTAAGAAGTTTGTGTATCCGAAAATAATGTGGATTATATTGTAAGAACATTACCTCCTATTTGCTACTAAAGTTGTTAAGCGTTTAATGTGCTTGAAAAGTTATATATTAAAAATGTCAGGTTTCTCCTAAGCTAGAAGTTACAGTTAAAAAAATAATACTAATATAATAAATATATAAAATAAATATATGATTTCATAAAAAATCGAAATTCATTTAATAGGCGTTATTCTAATATAATTTCGAAATATTGATATCGAAATTTACTCGAAGCTAAAAATTTTTTTGTAATAAACTAAAATTAGTTCCCCAATTATGAGATATATAGTATGACAATCTTTTAGGTATCGAGGCCTGTTCTGTAATTGATAAATCCATGTTCGATCTTACTTGAATTTATAAATAGCGTCTATCTATTGTTACCAGAATATTACCCTAATATAGTAGAAATACGAGAATACCTACTTGCATTAAAATTATTTCAATGGATATTAATTATAAAAATTATTTAATTAATATTAAACTAAATTAAAAAACATTTACAATTTTTTTTTCCACAATTGCAGTGTGATTCTTTTTAAAATTATGAATAAATTGAGTTAATAAGTTATTCATGACATCAATATTATTAATAGCGACAGTGTGGATTCGAGTCCCATCCATAATATGAAACTCAATTTTTTTACGAAAGAAATACCCATAACGAAAATCATGGATCTAATCTTTAAAGATTTGTGGTGCTTTAACTGTAATCATTTTAGAATCCAAGTCGTCTGTTGTTATTAGAAGGCACGGAATCGCTGTGTTATATTCTTCGTAGCTTGGTACAGCACACAGAGCACTAAATTGAGCAAATCTCAAGAAGTATACTAAAGTAAAGAAATAACACATTAGAAGATCGATAATAATAACCATAGCAATCATAAAAGTCTTTGTACGAAGTCTTCTTTCCTGCTTATAGTATTTGATCTCCGGACCAAATTTAACTGTACCATACCGTCTTTTCTGATGTCCTTGCAGTAAAGTAAAAGGGATCTTCTCCATATTAACAGCGATTATGTAGTGCTGT